CGCCAGGGTAACGCCTGCCCTGCTCTCACCCGGCCCCGCCTCAGACGTCTAAGGCATTTCTATGATACAGGAAAGAATCGGGAAAAATATTTTCTCCCGCATCCTTGATGTTTTTCCATTTGTACAGGACAAAAACTTCTTCACGTGTTATAGGAAAGGTCAGACAGTTCCCACTAATGACAGAAAGGGAGCCCTTCCAGCAGTGTGGGAGCAGACAGGTGAGTGCTTAGTTCACTCACCACATGTAATTAAACCCAAAAGCCTCCTGAAGCTTTGCAATAGAAAATATCTCAGTTTATTTTTCATTTAAAAGAATAATGATGATACTAATAATTTTTATATTAAAAATATGGTTAACAAAACCAATTATGTTAAATAGATCACTCTTGTGCAAAGAATATTTCCCCACGTGAAAGTCCTTACAGGAACAACAGGGCTGCAGTTAAGAACATACCAGCTCTACTGGGGCTTGCTGGAGTTTGAATGCTCTGGTGACAGGAACAAAAGGGACAAATACAGGGACCTTCTGAGCCACAGCCATGCTCATGGCTGGCACAGCTCATGGCTGTCCTGAGGGGCAGTGGGTGGTGCAGGACCAGTTGCTGCTGCTCTCACACACAGCAGTTACTGAAATAGCAGATGGGTCAACAGTTGCTGCTCCTGCAAAGTCATCCAAAAAATAAGAAGCCTCTCCAAAAGGGCTACAGCTGATGTTACTTTCCTGGGGGAGCTTAACACCAAGAGGCAACGAGAGCAGGCAGACACAAATCCTGCAGCTGAGCGGCTGCAGACCCCACAGGGTCTGAGTGTGAGCCGAGTGCTCCGGGCAGAGGAAGGCTCTGAGGGTGACGTGTCCCTGCACCCCTCGCCATCAGTGAGCAGCTACGAGGCGGGGCAGGGACTGGCTGCTCTCAGAAAGCCAAATGCTGAAGGTGGCCAGGCCTCCTGTGGGTGACCTGCACTGAGTGGGTGAGCCAAAGCAGCACCCACTCCCCAGCAGGGTTCTCGTTTTGCCATCAAGTCTGAAAGAAGTAATCAGACCCCTCAGGGGGCTGTGCTGCAGTCACAGCCAAGTCTGTCCCCGTGCTGCTCCTTTGCTGGCAGGAGCTGAGCCCTGGGAGCCTGTGCTGCACTGGGGCACTGTGCAGGGGTGTCACAGAAGGAGTTTGGCACACTTTGAGCAGAGGTTGTGGCCTTAAAACTGGCAGCTGGGGCTCTGGGGTACTGCCTGGAGCTGCTCACAGGGGGGTGGTGTCCATTGCCAGGCTGTTCACAGCTCCTGTGAGCTGTACCAGGGACTGTGACACTGATAACAGTGATCTGGCTTCTCTAGACATTATAAACTGCCTGTCTTCAGAGGATGGGTGTAGGATGGATGGATGGATGGATGTCTGCTCATTTATTTAAAGATCTTTGAATGAACACAGCTGAATGTTCCTGCTTTTGTAATGGCTCTGCAGCTCTGGCTTAATTAATGTCTGGAGTTCATGGAGGCGTTCCCAGGACTGTGAGAAATCATCTGGTCCTTCCCCACAGCCCCCAACAGGAGGGACACTGGGGTACCCGGGGTGCACCATCAGCTCGACGGTGACGCTGCCGCTCTGGGCTGCCCGGGGCGGGCGCTGCAGCACGGCGCTGTCGATGGCACTCTGGATGCTGCTGACAGACATGCTCCTGCCCATGGTGCTCAGGCCTATGTAAATGTCTGCCCACCTGCAGCCAGAGGAGGGAACACTGCTGTTAGTGCTAAAGAGGCAGGGAGACAATTGTGTTACGTCCAGTGGATTAGGAATCAAAATCTACCTAAAATTTAAGATATAAAATTGGAAGAAGTTTAAAAAAACTTTTAACTATAAACAAAAGTAAAACCAGAACTTTTCCTTGTTGAAACCAGGATCCTATTTCAAGCAGCACTTCTGCAGGGACAGCAAGGCCCAGCACAGCCCCAGTGCTGTGTTTGGCATCTGTGAGCTTTCAGGTGCATTTTATTGTCCCAAAAACAAAGAGCAATGCTGAACTGAGAAATGCCACACTATCAAAATAAATTAATCTTGAATAATAACCCTCAGCTAAGTAGAAACAAAAGTGACTGAAATAAAATGGCAACCACCCAGCTAAAGAAGCCTCCTGCCAGAATATATCACAGAGCCATAATAACTGGACAAAATGTTACTCCTAGAGGACACCACCTACACGCTGCTGCTTAACTTCACACAATTCTTTGTTCAAGTCTGGCTGCAAATGTCAGTTCTAAGTGTGGCCTGGATGTGTCCAGGAGAGCTGAGCAACTGCATGTGAGGGCAGAATGAAAGTGTTTTCAGAAGAAATCAAGGCTGGAATGTTTACCTGAATGATCACAGAAAAGCCCAGCTCAGCTGTTCTTGAGAAGGGAGAAATACCAGCCTGCTGCTGGTGTTCAGAACCACTGACACAAAAAATAAAATCCCAGAAGATGTTTCCAGTGGACTGAGGAAGTAACGACATCTGCCCCAAAGGACAGGTGACTGCAAGGGTCTCTAGTGAAAGGCCTTTAACCCATAAAACAGTCTAAGCTTTTAAGAGAAGCATTTTACTGGGGGAAGGGCTGAGCTTTCAGGGTTTGGCCCCTGAGCTGCAGGGCACTGACAAGGCTGTTTGCTCACAGCACTGATCACCTGCTGTGGTACTGCCAGCTCTCAGAGCTCATTGCTTCCCCTTTACAAATACCTGCTTCTACTTAGTCTCATTCCTACTACTTAAAAACCTTTCTCTACTACAACAGGAAGATGAAAACTTAATTCTTAAATGCTTTCCTTAGATAATACTTTTAAAATTCCAGCATTGATGCAGCATTTCTCCTGGCATTCCAGATGCCAGGCTGATGGAACTTCACTGGGAAGGCTGAGAAACATACCCTGAAAAAATCATTCCTTTTCAAGTGGAAAGTGACTCATCTCTGTTCAAACAAAACTTCCTAAGCCCTTGTGCCTCTGGCACTTCTGTGCTCCTCCTGAACCTTTCTCTAAGTCCAAAGAGGAAAGAGAAAGATGGTGTTCCATTTTTGAAAGATGCTATCAGGAACTGATACAATCTTAATGTTTTACTACAAAAAAGGATGAGTAATACCTGTCTTACCTTATTCCATGCTTTGTAAACACATCCACTGTGTTAAAAGAATCTTCTTCTACTCCCAGGTAAAAGTCCATCAGGGATGGTGGAATCCAGTCACAGTTATGAAGGCCTGGCTCTATGGGGACACGTGTGTACTTAATCCCATACTCCTCTAACACCTCTGCAAACACATTCCTGACCTCTGTAAGCAAAACCAGAGATGCAGTCAGGGCTTGGATAAGCAGCTTCTCGTGTCCCCTGCAAGCTGTTAGCACAGAGGCTTCCTTCCTTTCTGTGTTTAAGAAAATAAAATTCCATTTGGTTTATCTTCTACTGAAATTCATCTGTAGGGAGTCACCTCCTATACTGCAAACATTTCTCCCTGAATTTCTCCTGCAGGTGCCTTTCTTCCTTTCAGCACTGAGCCTTTAGTCCAGCCCCCCTACTGAGTGAGTGACTCTGGTCTGCAGTGAGTGCACCAGAGGTGGCTGCACTGTCAGGAGCAAATTCTTCATCAAGTGCTTGCACAGCCAGAACAATGTTATCTGGAGGCAGTCAGTACTGCAGTGGGAAAACCTGGATTCTTTTCTCACTCCATTTTCCATCTCTGTACCACAATGACTTTATTTGCAAAACAAGGACAGAAGATCCTTGCTCATCTCTAAAGCTGAGACCTGCAGGCAGGGACTGGGGTGGGAACACAATGGACAGGAGGGAGTTCTGTAGCATCTAATGGAGCCACCAGCTATTGCAATCTCCAGCATTCCAGTTTAAACTGGCCAGTCTGCTGCTGGCTTTGGTCTGCCTCCTTCAGTGTGGGTGAGAACATGGAATTGGGATGCTGAGGAGAATTACTGTTGTTGGAGGAAGAGGTGTAACCTTGGCCTTTTGTGTCATTAATGCCCAGGGCTCCAAGCAGAGCTTGGCTCTGGGCAGGACTGTGGGCTCAGGTGGGAGCATTCAAACTGCAGCTGCCAGCAGGTGTCTCAGGGTGGGGCTTACTGCCCATAGGGGAGCTGGGGCAGGGCAGGCCCCTCTGAGCTGACTCTCACCTGCTTGGCGCACGAGAAGAAGATTTCCTCCTTACCTGGGAGAACATGGACATGCTGGTGCCCATCCATGTGGGGAGGTAGGTGACCTGTCAGCTCACGGAACAGCTCCACCTGGGCCTTGAGCTCCTGCTTCACCTGTGCAGCACAAAAGGGTCAGAGCAGGACCTGGCAGAGGCTGAGAGCAGGGGAGTGATGGGGCTGCTGGGACCCCCCTGGGCAGGAGTCAGGACCCAGCTCTGGGTGTGCTGTGCTTGTACAGGGATGTGCAGCACTGCTGGGTGTCCCT